CATCTGGGCTCGTATTTCATATCCAAGTGTAGGTGAAGAGGGCTCTCTTCAATCAGCGAGGCCTCCTTTTCTCTATATACCTCCATCCATCCCTCCCTCTTCTCCCCACTCCTCCGCCTTTCGCTCTCTCTGTCCAAGTGAGACGGGGGAGAGTTTTTTTTCTTTCTCTATAGCAAGAATGCTGAAGACATTCTTCTCTGGATTGGAGTGGGAAAGACATTGCCATCAAATGGGATTAGCAGCAGGAGTGGGGAGAGTGGAGAAGAGAGGAGGAGGAGGAGGAGGAAGGGAAAGGAAGAGCCAGAGGGAGAAAGATAGGCAGAAAGAGAAGAGCAGGCTGAGAAGTAAGACACAAGCTTTCTAACCTAACAGACTCTATTGTGTTAACTAATCCATCTGACTCCACTGAGGAGTTCTGCAAACAAATGAACCTCGCCTCATAAACAGTCGGTCTGCATTACAGACGCAGAGACTTAAGGGACTTGCAGTGTTGCCGCTCTCCTTCTCTTTTCTCTTCAGCCTGAACTCACTACCTTTCCAGAGCCTCCAGCAAATGAATGGGTATCACACTCAGCCTCTCTGTGCTCCCAGAAAACCACACACCCATTCTGAAAACATATGATTTAAACATTAACGTGCCGGGCTGGTAAACCAGGAAAACATGAACAAAATAGCCACTATTCTACCTCAATCATTTGCCTTCTCTTTCCTCCCTAATTCAAATTTAATGACAAAGTATTTGGCTCCAATGCATTTTGAAATTGTAAAAATAAATGAATAAACAAACCAAAGGAAACTAAAACCAAAAACAGTTTTGAAAAGTTTCCCCTCTGAGAGCTCAAAGTTTAAAAGTTAATAAAAGCATCATTAAGTTGATCTTTAATCCATTTCTTCATCTTCCCATCAGTCCCACTGAAGTTTGCTCAGTTTAAATGAGTTGTCAGTCTACATAAAAGAAAAAGGAAAAGTTTTACCTTCAGTGTTGTGGTCTTGTGTTGTGTAGCAGCTCTGATATTTCCCTGCAGGAGAGTAAACTAGGTTGCAGTGCTGCCCTGCCAGGTATGAGGAGCATATATAGAGAGCCAAGCAGCCAGACGGTGACAGACGCAGTCGCTCTCTCTCTCTCTCTGTCTGCATGAGTCAGTCTGTCTGTGAGCTCCTCCTCCCTCACAATAAAAGCTCCTAGCCTGCCTTGAAACCAACCCCTTCCAGAATAAAAGCTCAGCCATATACTGTACCGCAGTGCTGCTACTGAGGAGCTTCCCTTTGTGGAGTCAGGAAGCAAAAATAAAGAAAAACGTCCATGAGAAAAGCAGAATGAAAGATGGCACCTATATCTTATTGCTTTTACTTGTCCTTTTATGTCTGATTGTTTCCTGAAACACTACAGAGACAGGACGTTTGAGGAGAGAGAATAGAAGATAGATTTAAGAAATTAATCATCTGAACAAATGTGTCAGTTTCAGGTGACAGAAATGAAATGTGTCCATTGTAAGCTAACATTTGAAAACAATGCCCTTTCTGGACATAAAATTCTCTTTATGGCCACACAGAAACATTATCTATCTATTATCTATTATCTACGTGCCATGTTTTATGTAACGTGTACTGTATTGGACCTTTGGAACAATTTGAGTATAGGAGGCAAAGTCCCAGTGCCACTGTGTGTGCAAACACTTCCGTCACAACCACATAGATCTGGTTTCATTCACTGAAGTATTCAGTTTCTCAATAGGAGAATTTTTTCCTTCATTTTTGTGGGATGAAACAAAAGTTTTTTGGGAATTTATCTTTTCTATTTTTGTGTGTAATGCCTCTATTTTTAGAGTCGGTGTGCGTTTTCCAGGCTGCTGATGAGTCACGGCGTGTTGATGGAAGGCGGGAGGCCAGGGACCCGGTCCAGTGTAGTGTTGTGTGAAGTTGTAAGTGTGTATGTAATTGTGTCTGTATACTGGGGAAAGGTCACACAGCCATTAGGAGAGGGTCTTCCTCTCTTCAGAGGTGCGAGTCATTCCCTCTGTTTTGACTCACTGACACTTGGAAGCGAGTCAGAGTGAGTCTTTTCAGAGTCGGTTCTTGGTGACAGCCGTGTCATAAGATTAGAGTGTGTATACATTGTTACACCCTCTAATTAACATCCACAACTGGAAGTGGTGTGTTGGTCTGGGAGTGTGTCTTAAGGAAGATCAAGCTTATACCACACATGCAGCCACACACACCGCTCACACCAACAGCCCGGGGTCAGGATCTAATCAGGGGTTGATTGACCTCATCCGGAAACAATGTGATTCTCTGAGTGTGTGTGTGTGTATGTACGGCAATGTGTATTTATCTCTGTGTTTCTCAGTGTTTAACATACCAGGGTGTTCTTTCCTGGGAAACACAGTCTGCTTTCTATGAGGGGATCACTGGGGCCTGTTAGTTTCCATGCTGTCAACTCCCAAGCATACACCATGGTCTCTCGCTCCCCTCATCTCTCTGTGCGTCTTTTCATCACTCCCTTTTCCCTCTGCTCACCCCTTTTTCCTCCTGCCCCCTGTCTGTGTTATGAAGGTCAGCTCTGACAACTCTCTTCCTTATTTGGAAAGTTTCTCCATTCCATGCAGGTCATTCTAGTCCGACCAACCAATCCAGTGGTTAGTTGGTCTGGCGTCTCAGCCAATCCTGTGTCTCCCATGTCCTTTTAAGGACTGCCCATCTCTGGACTCTGGAGGTTGATGTGAAATTATCTGCTTTTCCTGCTCTCTTGTGCGTCCTGTGACTTCATTTTGCTTTTTCTTTCTGTTGCACAAGCTCTTTCCCTCCCTGATGACAACTCACTTTCTGTTTCTGCCTTTTTTTTCTCCATTTGTTCGTAATCAAAAACCTCTTTGGCCTTCATTCACTGAAGCGAAGGGTATCCATTAGGGAACTGATCCACAGTCAGTGTTTTCTTACTTCCATTTTTAATTAGACGTTTGATGATGATGAACCACAAGCAAAGTTTTCAGTGTGTAGCCAGCACCATATGTGGTTCTTTAACATGCATGTTTCCCGAGTTCCATAAAACCGCAAGCAACACCTCGACAAGAAAGTGATTGTTAATACTTCATTAGAGAGTTCATGACTTGCACCTCGTAAACACAAACACACTGCTGAGAGGAAGCTCTGAGTCACAGCGCAGATATGCGACAAAGCCTGGCAGCTGGAGCTCCTTGCTCAGCAATGCAACAAAGAAAGAATAAAGATCCTGCTCTAAATGTGATACAACAAGTCTGAAAAATCCTACTGGTAGTCCAATATTTGAAAAAAATACAGAAAGGGACAGACAGCAGCAGCCAATCACCTGCTGCGGCCTCACACTATATACACAAGTTGTGTGTGTGACAGTGGGAGACTGATGAGGGCTGTTGGCAAAGAGTGGTTTGTTGCCTTCAGTTTGCATGCTGTTCCCCTGACAACAACCTCGCCGGGGTTAAAGAGGTTTGGAGCTACTGCAGAAATCATTTAATCTCACTGGAATGGCAATTATGTCACCAGACAGGGATAAGGTATATAAGGTCAAGCTGTATGCAATACAGGCCACATTAAAGTGGATTAGGCCATTCCTCATCTTTATCACTGCAGTGTGTCACTATGCAGAGCGTGGAAACATTAAAGCTGGTAAGTGATACACATGGTGTCACTTAGACAACATTATTCTAAGCTCCTGTGTGTTTGTTTGAGTTAGGGCTGGGCAGTAAGTCTATATTACGACTTTTGGTGGAATTGTAATGATGTTCTCATAATTGTATTGTTTTGCCGATTCTGTTGTCAAAACTAATGAATATAATGTTATGTATTAATAATGAACTTATTAATACATAAGTGTATACATATCTAACTAGATTATTTTATATTATTTATCAAAAGAATCTTCTTATTAAAAGGTTCAGTGTGTAACATTTAGAAGGATCTATTGGCAGAAATGAAATATAATATTCATAGGTATGTTTTCATTACTGTATAATAATAACCTAGAAATAAGAATTGTTACCTTAGAATGAGCGTTTTTTACCTACAGAGGGAACGGGTCCTTTTCTGAGGAGTCCGACATGTCTCTACAGTAGCTCAGAACGGACAAACCAAACACTGGCTCTAAATAGGTCCTTCTGCTACCAACCTATATAGATGACTCAGTCCATCAGTAATTATTACCATCTCTTAACAAATAAACAGCAAAAAACTTGTTTCACTCTAGACCCTTTGGAAAAACATGAAATAAGTATAGAAAGAAAAGGCTAAATTGAGGTCCTGTTGAGTGCCGATGTGTGCCTGTTTTTTATCATCGGTAATTTTAGCATACTGACATACTGTAGAGCTGCATTAAAAACAATCCACAGACACGTTGCTAGTGAGAGTTCAACTGATACATAAAAAGCACTTTGTGGAATGAAATCCGTGCAAGAGAACAATTACAACTGTCAAAGTTGATTCCTGGTCTTATGAAAGAGAGATTAAGCTGTGTAATGGTTTGAGGATAATTGTTGCCTCTGCTACTTGTGCGTGGTGTGTGACGCCCACCCAGACATTATCGCAACCTATAATATAATGCTTTGCCCCTATTATCACGGTCAATATCATGGTGGTCACACCTTCGATGTGTTGCACTGGCTTGACACTCTTTACTGTCTCCTCCTTTGTCTTGTAATCTCCATCCTCAGTCTCACTGAAGTGATTTCTTGAAATGGTTGCTAACTATCTTTCCTAAATGTCTCAGTGCATCATATGTAGACTTTTCCTACAACCTGGAGGTACATATCTGACTTAGCAACACATTGGACACTATTATTTAAACAGCAAAGCTGCTACACAAAAATCTGTATAACAAAATAGTGAAAACACACCACATGCACGTTTTCCTTGTACTGGCAAGGATATGTCATTACAGCTAACTGTTCTTGGGAAATGTCACACTGGGCAAACATGTACCTTTATCAATATATCCTAAACCTGACACTGGAGACCAGCAGCACGACACCTAATCCATCAACACACACTCACAAAAATGTGCATACATGTGTATGAGCGCTCACACACAAACACAGATTTACAAGCTCCAGGTGTTATCAGTCTATCATGATGTGGCTTTACAGATGGTCACGTGTGCACGGTTGAACCCTGGAGGGCTCTGAACAGAGAGGAGTAGTGTTGTTGAATCAGTAGAGACCATAACTCTGTCCAACATGCAGCAAAGACCTTATGCTGAGATGCATAAGAGAGTCTCATACAGCTGAATTATGGCTTGTCTCGTAGTATTTTCTCATTGTGTGTTTCATGTTCCCAAATCCTTTCAGGTCTTTATTAAGACCCTTCTGCAGGAAGCCCAGTTTATCTCACACAATAAAATAGGCTTCAATCCTAAGATTAACCTTTAGTTGCCTTACATAACCAGACATGCTTAAAGCAATAGGTAATTTTAGCAGAATATTTTTGCTTTTTTGCTATTTTTGCTGTGTATGCTTAATCCTCCAATCAGTTTATGAGAAGGCCACAAAAGCACCAGCTGTACATGGTGTCACTTAAAGATAAGACATCCATCAAATTTACCAACTAAAGCAAGTAACCAAATATTATTTGTTTCTATGTATAGAATTCACATTACAAAACGCAGCTAAGAAAAGCTGAATTCCATAGGAGCATAATACAATGAGACAATGCTGCCAATTTGCAATCTATCTATTCTCTACCATGTGGTAAAACTTTGCTTTCTCTCCAAACCTGGTGCTTGGTTCAGATCCAACTGGCCAATCTGAACCTCTCCCCTGAGAATTTCCTTTGATTCTTATCCTGACGTCTGACATCAACGCCGGGCATCAAACCCAAATACCTACCGACCCTGATTTCTCTTCCTTCAGCACAGAAAAACAGCAGGTCTGTTTTCACAGGTCATGTCTCCTGCAGTCCCTCCTGCCTGCCAAGTCACACAACGACTTCCTCCATCTCATCAGCTCAGTGTTATTGAAGCAAAAATCCTCCCTTACACAGGCTTCCAGTGTGTTTTTCTATGATTTAGAACAATTTATTCTAGATTTGTGAACATGAACATGTCTCTCCACTACCTATAAACACTGAGGCCAAGATTGTAATGTTATCTAGTTCAGCTGTCCATTTATATATTATAATGGGTGCTGTGAAACCCAGAATAACTTTTGTGGATATCCGCATATGAGTAATATTTACTTGGGAGTAAAAGCTTAAATGTACAGAAATCCAGACTTTAGAAATAATTTTGGTGTAGTAGTAGTATTAAAGTATTAAAGTCTAGACATTCATGCCTTAAGCTAGGTAAGCTGCTCAGTCAGATAATGAAACTCAATCCATATTGAACCCCGCTGCCTTTATGTAAATGCAGTAAAAGCAATTTCATGATATTGCCTTATTCTAAAAATAGACAACATAAAGGTCATCGTTTCCACTCTGTCTATTGAATTTATAGCATTTTATTCTCCTGTAAATTGTAAGAAAAGCAATAAAAGTAACAAACTGGGAGCATTTTAAAAGGCTGCAGGCTTTGCTCTTCGATGTTGATGTTTCATAGCAGCATGTGGCTCCTAGACAAGAAACAATATATGAGTCTGTACGGGATGTGCCACACCAAAAAAAAAGGATACGAATAAAGCTCAGGGGTTTTAGGTTGAGAGTGGTCAGTGTCTGTTCCTACATGTTACCTAAGGATTGCAGTCTGGCAGAAATGTGACCTTTGGTTAATGGCAGGGCTGCTGTTTTTACTGTGTAAATGCAGAATTTAAAGGGAAGAGGGCAGGAGAAGGATGGCTTATGCGTTCTAATTGCTTCACAGTTGGGAGCTGATTGTTTTTAGCAGTTTAGTCAATCTTATTAACTATATTTTAAAATAACAAAAAACTAAATTCTGCACATAACTGCTACATTGGATTTATCATACAGTGAAATAATGTAAAGTTATTTATATAAAAGGAATCAGAAATAGCCTGTGTCTACATTTCTACAGTCTGCAACTGTCTGCGTGTGCTTCCATGACAGCTTGATTAATGAGGCTACATGTGGCGCCATTCAAATCACATCCAGAGCATCACCCTCACAGACAAATATTTACCTGTAATTTTCTGTCTCCTCCTCTATATTCTCAGCTCTGGAAGCACAGAATTAACAAGTCATAACATTTACATCAACACATTGTGCAATACTGTAGCATCCATCAGCAGGAATCAACTCCAGTACACATGCAGTGGAAATCGACTGTGCAATGCAAGAACCAAGCTATACTGCATTGAAATCAAGCTTTAGTCTAAATGCAGTCTGTCATAACATACGTCAACACTGTTAACCATCTGCAGTTGATGGGATGTACTGCTCGCATTGTTTAATATTTTGACAGTCAACATATTGTAATAGGAACCAAAGAAATAATACTGTGAGTGAAAAAGAAGAGCAAAAAGAAGTCTAAGAGTCTACGGCCATGCTGGTGGCTCTGTGAGGCTGTGACAGTGGTACTTTGAGCTAAATGCTAATGTCAGCAATGCTAGCATGTCAATATTCAACAGGTACAATGTTTACCATTTTAGCTTAGCAGCTTAGCATGTTAATATTTCCAAATTAATACCATACAAAAAGTAAAGCTGAGGCAGATGGGAATGTCTTTAATTTTGCAGGTATTAAATGAAAGTCAGATCAGATGAGCAGAAATATTGACCTGATGATGGCGCTGGATGAAAGGTCAGGGGATCAAAGTTTTCACAAGACATCCTCTGGGGACCATGAATGTTCCAAGTTTTATGGAAAAACATCCAAAAATGCAATACTTAAACATTTAGGGGATCAAGGATCATTATGATTCACTGTCTGGGAACAATGAATGTTTGTATAACCTTTAGTGCCAATCCATCTTGTAGAAGTTGAGATATTTCACTGAATAATGAACATTTCTACCTGCTTTTTGCACTAGAGAAAAAGTCAGGGGATCATCATAGTTATTCCACTTCATCCCGAAGAGGACATTCATATCTGTAGCAACTGCCATGGAAATCCATGGAATAGTTTTTGACATATTTCACTATGAACCACAAGGGTCAATTTCATGGATTCATCCTCTGGGAATCATGAATGTCTGTAAAAAATTTAATGACCATCCATTTTATGGAGGACCGAGGTGGTGGACAGACAGAAACAACCAACTGACAGGCAGACCGACGCTGACATCTCTAGAGCAATGTTGCTAGCATGGCTAAAAATATCTCAAAACCAACCAATAGAGCGATAGAACACACTACAATTATTTGTGTATGGTATGTTGTTATTTCCGGGATAAAGATGCTAACATCTCTGGTTCGACTCTGGATATAGACCTTCCATCCCTTCTTTATGCTTCCTATTACTTGTCAACGCTCTCTACTGTATTCTTTCTAATAAAGGCAAAAAATACTTAAATGAAAAAGAAATGCATCAGCAAATGAGATAAAGATCCATGCACAAGAGGCTCATCTACAGCGGACATCTCAAAACACAGGACCATTGAAAATAAAGCCATTCAATGCCCAGCTCTCTTCTAATAACAGTGACATCCTACCTGATCCCTATAAAGCTCAGAGAAAGGTGCTCAGGAAAAACAAACAATGGCTCTGTCCTGGGCTGGGCATGCAGTCCGAGGTCAGACAGAAACAATGGGAGCCATCCAGCAAAAGCCACACAGATCTGTTTACAGCCACAGACAGGCAGCAGCTGGCAGACTTGCCCTGGCAAACACGATGCCACATTGACACCAGCATAAAGGCAGGGGAATGCTTTTATTCTAAAAAGGCCTGGGATTCCCCTATTAACCCTTTCACAAAGCTGAGACACTATCATTTCCACCAGACCTCAGACAGGCCTCCCAGTCTGTCTCCCACCCGCCAGCCCTCCCTGGTGACTAGCCTGCTCCCAGGGCACAGACACATGGAGATACGACAGGTACTCACAGCTTTGGCTTAGGCTTGGTAGGCAGCGGAGGACCGTCCTTCCCAGGGGATGGAGACAGCTTCCCTGGGGATGGAGGTGAGTCCAGTGCCACCTCGGCTGGACCTTGAGCTGTGACATCTGTCATAAGGTCAGACTGTGGCAGAGGTGGAGGTAGCGGTGGAGTTGTGGTCGCTTTAGGCGGACTTGGTAGTGATAGTGGATTTGGGTGTTCGCCATTCTGTATAGACCCTTTTCCCCTATGCTTGTCCTCCACCTCTGAGCCCATACATATTGGAGGCAGGGATGACACACTGGGCCAGATCTCAAGCTCCTTGATATGGAAAGCCTCAGTGCCGGGATGAGGCATCTTGGGTGGCAGCTCTAGGAGGCTGATTTCTGTGGGTGGGGGAGGAGGGGGGAAGGCTGCCGCATCCTCAAACCCTGAGCTATCACCAGACATGCCATTACTCGATGAGTCCTCGGCTGCTGGCAGAAACAAACAAGAGTGGAAAATGTTGGACTTCACATACCTCAGTAGATGCAGATTACACACACACACACACATAAGACTGTACTGCAGCTGATCTGGTCTAAAGTAGCAGCTGGGTCTAGTCAGGCTGATGCAGTTCCTGTTTATTCAGCCTTTCTTTTAACTGTGCGGTGAGTCCTGTACTGTACATACACAGTTTTGTCTGTAAGAATACTCCCATCATCATCATGCTCATCAGCTAACACCTCTCACCTCTTTCCCATACGGACTACAATAAACACAACAAGATGGTCATCTAGCTGAGACATGCAACATACCTTTTAGAACTGATCCCAAACCACAGGACCTCCATGTAATCATTGGACTATCAGAGGTTAGTGTGACCAAGCCCTTATTCATTTGTTGTGGAATAAAGTTAAAATTTGCTTTTCATTTTTGTTTCCTTTTTACAATGAAATCATTTTATCAGCTCACGTGCTATTATCTAATTATGTTAACTGGTAAAGTTTTAGACAAAACTGAACATAACTAGGGCTGTTTTGAGTGTGTGGGTGCAGGAAAGAGGGGGTTGGTCCTGAACCACACTGTCTGTGTCGTGGGTCCAACTCAACGAAACAGTTACTGAGAGGCTGCCCACCTGATGACCCTGTAGACCTTCAGGAACTTATAGTTATACTTTCACAAATTGATTTTAAAACTATGTTCTGCTCTTTGACAAGACAGGTCAAGGAACATAATACTTGAAACGTTTCTGGAACCAGGGGGGTTGCTAACTTGTGGCTACTGGTAAAACTAATGGAACCAGATATACAGCGATGGTGGTTGGACAAATGGGCCATGGCATTCAGACAAAGTTGCCTATCAAAGCTGTGATGCCTGCTGCTTGTTGGTGCCCTGACAGTGCCTGGTAACAGCATGATGACCATCTCTTTGTGTCTGTGTTGGACGCACCTGCAGTGACGGTGAGTCGGGCCGTGCTGTTAATGGAGCCATACGGGTTGGATGCGATGCAGCTGAACAGACCTCCGTCTTCTGGAAAGGCCTCGGCTATCACCAGGGTGCAGATCTCCTCTGGACAAAAAAAAAACAACCACCATCAATAACCCTTAAATGGGCAAACCGTTCAAGCTGGATTTATATGGGTAGAATTAAAAGACTTGACATTGAAGGACAGAAACCTGCACAGGTATGGAGTGGAGTGACTTGTTGACACTTGATTTGTTTGTAACAAGATGTAATAGAGACATTAGATGGACAAGTTATGTACGTCGTAGACTGATGATTGACATGTTATCTAGACTGGTGAATCATTATTCATAGTCAGACACACAGAGAGCAGTGGGTAAAGACAAACAAGCATGGATGTAACTAATCTTGAAGAACAGACAGACACACAGAAGCACAGATGTCTCACTGACTCACAGCCTGAAAGTAACACCTGAAATGACCCCTGACTCACACATGTGGGAAGCCGTCTGACATAAATGGTGTGTGTGTCATTGTTATTTTGTGATTTGGTGTGTGTCTGTCGGAGATTGATGGTGGTGGGGTGTCTCAGACTTTCACGGGGACTCCCTCTGACTGTAATATATGTGATAATGAGTGTCCTGTGAGACACAGACTTAAGTTGTGATATGCTGAAGTCATAACCGAGTGAAAGCCTGCAGCTGCTAATGAAGCCATCAAACTCAATTTGAGTCTCCAGACACAGCTAATAAGCCATTACTAATTTTAACCACTGACTGTGGTTGGGAACATGAAAGCCGTGTTGGAATTAGCCGAGTCATATTTTGATAGACCTGGGAGGAACTGAGGTTACATACCTGGCTCAGCTGCAGATCGAGGCTCTGATTCATAGCATATTATAGGCAGAAAGGATGAGAAGACAAACAGAAATATTTGGGTTATTAGCATATATCAGTTGTTGAAAAAATTAAATTATTACTAAGAAGAATGTCTCACTTTTCTGGAGAATACGAAAGTCAGGGGAGTCAAGGATCTCCTCTCCCTGGCGGTACCATCTGACCTGCAGAGGAGGGCTTCCACGGACCCTGCACTCCAGAACCACCACCTGGCCCTCGGATGCCTGGGCATCCTGCAACAGCTGCACAGAGGAGGGATAAAGTAAGAGAGAGGTAATGATAAAAAAGGAAAGAGTGAGTGAAGAATGATGAGGAAGAGAAGAGACTGAAACCGGTAATGAAAACGATAAATATGCTTCAGAGTTACAGCACGGTGCAGTGTGAGACATAGATCGCTAAAGGAGCACACAGTAGACGCTATAACGCCTATAAACAGTCACTCTGTTTTACTGCAGAACACCAACTCGCTGTCCCACCAGTTAAATTCAGCCAAAGACAACTGAGTTCAGCCTTTTAGGTATTAGTTTTGGGCATCACGCAATCCATAAATAGTCATAAATCTGACTGTTCACTCTGTCCATTTGTTTCTACTTCAGCTAAAATGTTTTGGTCCAAGTAGCTGTCAGTGTACGTAGACAGCTTTAAAAAACATTTACTTTATAAAGTATTGTATTTCAAAATGAAATTATTTCTTAAATATTTGGAAAATTATGAACTGAAAGTGCAAGTTGTATTTGACAGATTGTCAAATAAAA